CAAAACAGATTAAGCTTAAAAAATCTGCATAAAAATATTTTAAAATACGGAATCGTAAGAATGAGGTTTTTGATGCTGTTTTTTTACTTTTTTCAAAGATTGATTTACGAAAAACTTGAATAACTGGGCCAAAACTATTCTGATTTAGACTTATGGGATCTCGATAGAAAGGTATTTTCACACTGTTTTTATTTCTGTCCAAAAAAAATATCATTCGTGTCGCAATTTTTTTTTTTCAAATACCAACACATCTTAATTCAACTTTGAATGACGTTCGTTCATCCTACCTATCTCTTTCATCCTTTGAATGAGTTTATTAGAAAAGAAATAAAAAGGGTGAGAAAATACCTTTCCACCGACACCTCTTAAGTCTAAATCAGAAGAGTTTAGGCTCAGTTATTCAAGTTTTTCTTATACCAATCTTTGAAAAAAGTTAAAAAACAGCATCAAAAATCTCATCATTACGATTCCGTTAAAATTTTTTTTTAATTTTTTAAAAATATTTTTATGCAAATTTTTTAAGCTTAAACGGTTTTGTAACTGGATTTAAAAAAAAAATAATTAAGAAACTATTTTTATTCATAATAAACTCCTTTTTGGAGGTATTTTGAAATTGGTCCAGCTCACTTAAATCTTAATATTTTTACGAAATATTTTCGTGGACTTCTCAAAATATAATAGATTTTTTAATTCCAATGGAAAAATAGTACCGATTTTGTTTTTGTATGGGGAGTGATGCAGTCTAATGTACATGTGTAGGTTTAAAATTTTTTTTTAATTTAAATATTTTATTTAACTTTCCTTTGAAAGGCTGTAAAATAATTGTATGCTTTAATAATTTTTCGAGTACTAGATTAAGTATTTCAATACATTTTTTACTTCACCGAATTGTAACTTTTTGTAATTAAACACCGCCGTGAAATTGAATATTAATTTTAAAATTATTAAAAATGAAAATATTTCTTAATGCTAGGACATCCTACGAAGAGCCTATGGTTTCATTAAAAATCTGTAACTTTCAATCATAATCTTAAACTTAACCGCCGCAATTAAAATAACTTTCTTCAACGGCTAATGACTTTGCCCTTTTCCAATTAAGTAA